CTTATATGAAGTGAAGTGAAACTCATGTGAGCAGGTTTCGTCTTGGCTGCAGATTTGTTGTAATGCACTGATTATATTATCTTGCTGCTACTTTGGGTTGGGGTGTTTATTTAATGGTCCTATAGTACTTAATAATTATGGGGAAGAGGGGTGCTTGTTGTCATTTGTGGCAAAATCAACAGCCTAACCCCATACCTTCTCCTGAAAACAATATCCTCCATGCGAAACATGGTGGTGGCTGATTTATGCTATTGGTAAGATTTTTATTTTTTCCCCCTCAAGAGGGGACAGCAATCCTGAAACAGCGGTTGCAAGAAACCTTCCTGCAGGTTGGCTTGAAACATGCACCTGTGTTAAAATGAGCCAGTCTATCTCCAAAACTATATCCAATCAGTAACAAGATACGATATTTGATGTTCAGTATGATTTGACTGAGCTTGAATTGGCTTGCAAAAGAGAAAAGATAAAAAGGTTTAGATGAGGGTGCTTCACAGTAGAGAGAGACTCTGATGGGTTACAAATATATAAAACACAATCTTCAGATCATTTATAAATAAAGTTTTATAAAAACGCTGTATGTTTCTTCTTTATACTTACACTCTGCTCTTTCTTAGTTTATCATACTAGCTCATATTTAGAAATGTGTGGTGTTTTGACATAGAATAACCAAATTTAAGAGAGGTGTATGCTTTAGCGTAGTAAAATATAAGTGTGGTTCTTTTACAAACAATCCACTTTCCTGTTCTAAAGTCATTTCTGAAAAATCACCAAGTTTATGACCAATTTTGGTTTGTTCTTTTATCACTCATATGTCAAATGTAAAAATAGCGGCTGATGAATGAATTCCGCTATGACCTAAATTAAAATCTCATGACGGGTCAACATTCATCCACCTCTTTTTTTGTATTAGATATGAATAGGTTTCATTTACTGAACGCTGAGTCTTTTTTCATGTTATGAGAAAAAGTACTGCGGAATGTTAGTGAAGGGTGAGTGGACTAAAATGAATAAAAGTCCCTACAAAAAAAAAAAAAAGAGCAGAAGCAAAAAGGGACCACTCAGCACAAACCTAATGTTCTATCACTTCCCCAGATGCATGCCATTCTGAGGTTGTGTGCATTTCTATTCTGGGCTCACATATATATATATTTAGTGACTTGTGCATCAGCTCACCCTTATTTCCTTTTTTTCTCCGCCTGATATCGAGTTTCTGCAAAAAGGATGTTTCCTCTTTACCTATCTGAATGTCTTCTGCTGTCTCTGTGGTTTCCCTTTAAAATGCGAAACTCGGCGTCAATGACATACTTAGTAGTTGTGAATTTTAGAAGCTCTTATAGAAGTTGGGGGTGTTGGTACGTATATTAATTTTTGAGTACACTGTGGTAGACAGCTTCAAGGTCAAGCACATTTAAGCTCAAATAAAATTATTGCCTATTTCTAGCTCTAAATCTAGTCTTTTCAGACATCTTTAAAATTAAATGAGGCAGTTGCACAGATATAAGAATTCCTAATGCACTAAATATACACAAGGACTACTGCAGAATAGGAAAAAAAACACCCTGTCGACACCTTAAAATAATGCACGCTGAAAATATTAAACAGAACATGATGTGCTCAGTTGTTCCAACAAACGATTATGATGGAAAACAAAACTCTTTGAAGGAACGGTGCTTTATTTGTTCCCCTGAAGGCAGCAGCTCACCTTTAAACAAATCTGTGACTACGGAGGTTTTTGTTGTTGTTGTACTTCGTTCCTCCTGCTCTTTTTCTTTGCTTTTCTGTTTTGTCAGTCTGCTGATAAAAAATACCTTTGCCTATGGCTCACAACACACACCAATTAGAGTTGAGCAGATGGTCAAGGCCTCCAGAAGCTTAGAAATAAGGTAAGAAATGAAATTTAATGGCTGTCAACCCTACTCTCATGTAGCTCTACCTTGTGGGCGAGGAGGCCTGAACTGTGAGTTGTTTTAGCGTATAATTTTATTTGTATAAGTTTTGGTTCAGGAAAATTTATAACTTGCAAGCAGCAGTAATATTTTACCCTGCTGAAGGACTAATTATATGGATGATAATTTGACAGGAATTCATGGTGAAACTGAATGGTGATAGTCAGCATGGCTAAAGCCCACACATACAGGGAGATATATGTATATACAGTGCCTTGGAAAAGTATTCACCCCCGTTAAACTTTTCAACCTTTTACATCATCTCAGGCTTCAAACATCAAAAAGATACATATTGTAATTCTTTGTGAAGAATCAGTTACAAGTTGGACACAATCATAAAGTGGAACTAAATTTACTTAGACATTTTAAACTTTTCAACAAAAAAACTGGAAAACTGGGTGTGCAAAATTATTCAGTCTCCTTGAATTAATACTTTGTATCGCCACCATTTGCTGCAATTACTGCTGCAAGTCGCTTGGGGTCTTTAATACTTCTAATACATCGAGGGGACTGAAATATTTGCCCATTCTTCCTCCAAAACAGCTGGATTCCGGCCTGGACTTTGACTTGGCGATGTACTGTAACACCTAGATATGTTTATTTATGAACTATTAAATTGCAGTGTTGGGCACGTTACTTTGAAAAAGTAATTAGTTATAGTTACTAGTTACTTCTCCCAAAAAGTAACTGAGTTACTAACTGAGTTACTCCACAATAAAAGTAACTAGTTACTAGTAAAAGTAACTATTGCGTTACTTTTGCGTTTCTCGCCCCCGTAAACCTCACCACCCAGCCCCCACCTTCTCGCCGTGTGTTTCCAAAGCCAGCTGAATAGAGAGGACGACAAAGACAAGAACCTGCAGACAGTTTAGCATTTATTGCAACTCAACGTAAATGACATCAGGGGGAACGCGATGTGAAGTTTTATAACAGGACATTCAGATCTGGTGAGTATATGAAATTAATAACTGGGGATGTCTAATTCTGAAATCCTGTGTGTTTGGGTTGTTATAGATACTGCAACATCTATCTATCTATCTATCTATCTATCTATCTATCTATCTATCTATCTATCTATCTATCTATCTATCTATCTAGATGTATACTCTGTGTGTGACATAAAATATGGATCTCCATCCCTGCCACAAAGGCCATCAAATAATGTTTAAAATAAAAAATACAGTAGGTTGAGAAGGCAGAGCATCCATCCATCCATCCATCCATCCATCCATCCATCCAGATTTCTCCCTTTCTCCATATAGGCTATCATTTCTGGCTGTTGTCAGGTTCATTTGATCGTTCACGCTCTCCATACTTCTCCTGTGGCGCGAGCACAGAGCGACTGTTGCGCGCCTTTAGCGAGCATGCGCGTTTCCTGTCGCTTGCGCGGTGACTCGTGCCGCCTGCGCTGTGTGGAGATGCAGAGGAAACCGTTATGTGATGGGGAAACGCAGCTCTACGTAACACCGGTATTTCCATGTGGAAAACGCTGTTTTGCTGCTGGAGTCATCCTCACTCTCCATCTCTCTGTGTGTGCTGTACGTTAACACCCGCCAGCAGAAACACCCACCTATTCAACTGACAGACGGAATCTCGTCCTCCCCTCTCTCATGACAAGGCGCGCACCTCTTGATGACCTAAAATAAATCTTTAATATCTCTTAAACAAAAGTAGCACAAACAATATTTTTTTCTGCACAAATCTGCACTAACGTTGCACTAACCATTCAGTCTATTTGCAGAGTTTTTTGACGTGGGTGGGGTGTCAGCTTCACGCAGCTGCGCACGAGTCCTATCATGAAAAAAGGTTCATTGCGCGACCTAAGTAACGCGCAGTAACGGGGTGCCTGCAATGGTAACTGCGTTATAGTTACAGTCAAAGTAATTAGTTAGATTACTCGTTACTAAAACAAGGTAACGGCGTTAGTAACGCCGTTACTTTCAACGCCGTTAGTCCCATCACTGTTAAATTGTAGATTTTTCTTTATGTTTCGGATCATTGTCTTGTAGAAAGATAAATCTCCGTCTCAGTCTCAGGTCTTTTGCAGACTCAAGCAGTTTTTCTTTTCCAGGATTGGTCCCGTATTTGGCTCCATCCATCTTCCCATCAATTTTAACCACATTCCCTGTCCCTGTTGAGAAGCAAGCCCAAACCATGATACTGCCACCACCATTTTTGACAGTGGGGATGATATATTCAGGGTGATGAGCTGTTTTGCTTTTATGCCATACATAACGTTTTGCACTGTTGCTAAATAGCTTGATTTTGGTTTCATCTGACCAGAGCACCTTCTTCCACATGCTTGCTGTGTCTCCCAGATTGCTTGTGGCAAACTTTAAGCAAGACTTTTTATGGATATATTTAAAATAGACAATACATTTCGTTACACTTCATGATTGTGTCCCATTTGTTGATTAAAAAAAATTACAATTTTATATCTTTATGTTCGAAGCCTGAAATGTGGTGGAAAAAGTATATATATATATATATATATACATACATATATATACATTCATATACACACACATATATATATATATATATATATATATATATATATATATATATATATATATATATATATATACATATATATACATACATATACACATATATATATATATATATATATATATATATATATATATATATATACATATATATACATACATATACACATACATACATACACACTCACACACAGGCTTATATATATAGTATATCAGTTGTCAATAAAATTGCTGCTCACTGAACTATTTATTTTAGAAACCATGTTCTGTAATCCTGAGATATGGATAGGAGTGAAAATTCCAGAAGATCATGAGTCTCTGAAATACCTGCCTGTCCGGAAACCATATCATTGCTAAATCCCTTCTTCTTCTTTCTAATGCTCAGTTTGAACTTCAACAGAACATCTTCAATATAATACCTGACTGCTTTATTGTTTTTTTTTCCTGAGACTATCTCATTGTGGAGTGGAATAAGGCAGTTTTAATAAAAAAAAAAAAAAAAATGATGTAACACAAAAACACTCCCAGAAATGCTGTAAGTGAAACGGAGACATTTATTAATTAAATGGCAAGTCATTCAAATGAATAAATTCAATGATTATTGGTGCCTCTGCATCATCTCTAAATTATAAAAAATTATCTTCCAGAGCTAGGCTGACTTTAAAGAAAATTTCATTGAGGATTTTATCACATAAAGTATTACATCTTTCCCAACAGTCTTTTAAGATTCTTTACTGCTGAAGTAGGGAATGTTTGCCACTTGAAACACACAAAAACCTGCATTCATCGTTAACAAAAATATTCCCTATTTACTTACACAGCACTTGAGTTATGCTTCCCTTTAATTTCTATCTCCAGAGGGATCCGCAAACATTTACTATACTTGTGGTTGTCACAGTGAATCACAGTAAATCAGTGCACTGGGGCAACATGAGCAGATTTGCATGCAAATAGCCCCAGAGAAGGTTGACACATCATGTTCTGAGGTATACCGTGTTGTTTTTCTACTACATACACAGTCTTGTATTTCATTTGAATTGTTCAGGCTATAAACATAACCCTTCATTACAGAGACAGTAGGCACAGGATATTCTACAAACGACTTCATCTGTAAAACTGCAGCAAACTTTTCATAAATCAGTGCGTTCGTCTAGAAGCAGCAGGCAACGCTCCAAGCTATTCTTGCACAGGTACTCAAATGCACTCCATCTTCACTCATTACAGTGCTAGTATACAGTGAAGTGTCTTCAATAGTGAGCAGCAGGACTTTTCATCAGAAGTGACGTAAAAGTAGGAACAGGGGATTTGGAGACGGATGGAGCTGTGATTTAAATGCATGCTCTGTACTTCAACAACGAGAGGAAGGAGGCAGATTCATCTGAACAACAAGCACAATGTGTACACAAGCACCAGTGAATAATTACAACAAACCCACACAGAATAAGTAGAAACACACAATAGCAGCAGACAGGACTGCAATTCAGAGGAGCTTGAGAATAAATAGGTGGTTTTTGAACCGACTTGTTGGTATGCTTCAGATGTTTTTAGTGCAAAACATGAATTTCCTTTGAGGAGAGATCAAGTCTTTTTGGACATGCAAGTCTCTAGTGAAAGGACCAGACAATAGACTCCACTATGATGACAGTAATGCTTTGAAATCCAAAGTGCCTACATTGAGACACCAGTAACAAATCTCTTTATTAAAACATGTAGCATAAAAAAAAAAAAAAAAAAACGAAGCAGCGTACAAATTCCCACAGAGTATAAAAACAAGGCACCTGTGGCATCCTGTAACAATATATGGGCTACTTTTAAAGATAATTTATGAAACTTCAACATATGGCAGTAAATAAGAGAAGATTGAGATGCAGCTACAGTATACCCAAAACATTGTGTTACGGTTATGTATGTAGTCTATAAAATGAAGATAAAAGTCATTCAGGCTGATTGTTTTATCTTTTCCATGGTCAGTAAAGGAAAAAAGACAAACCTTTCCATATTTCCTTTCAATCAGTTCTGTAAATCGGTTCCAATGGAGATACATTTTTAAAAGAACGTGAGGGGTTAGACTTTTTAAAGTAGGGTCAAAGGTATTACTTATTATCAGTTAAAATCTTCCCTGGACTTAAAAACTCTCTGATTGAGTTTAGATTTGTGTAACAGAAACAGCTCTAACAGTGAGTAACAGTGTAACAGCTCTAACAGTGAGTTTAACAACTTATGAGATTTCAAGCTCCAACACAGACCTCAGTCATATTTAAACAACTCCAATTTAGATTGTCTGATCTGCAACTGACAAAATTCTTAGACAACTGTCATAAAAACAATGGAGTGTTAAATCCTATTACATTTCCATCACACAACTTGTCTGGCCAGCTACATTTGGTGCAATTTCTGTAAATAAGAACATACATAACTTTAAATAGGAACTTAACAGTATGGATGTACCTGATACAGATCCAAATAAATTCAAGAAAATGCATTTAGCAGAACAGTCCCAGCCCAATCATCCATTAAAATGTGGCATCTTTATACTCAAAAGCCCAGTAGATCTACAGTGCAATAACATAGGAAACATTTCAACAGTGGTATAAGGTCTATATCAGTATTTTGCATGCCACTCTTAAATGACAATGCAGTGTTCATATTACTGGAAACCTTTTCCTTGATGTTGAAAAATACTTTATTAATTCTGGGATTTCTGCAGAACTGCCTTTTGTTTCTAAAGACACATATGACTTGTTCTTTCAAGTTCTTGAAAGTTTAGATTGTAGCAGAAATCCATGGGTTGCCTGCTTATCTAATAGGAAAGTTTTATTCTCAGTGTCTTGGTTTCAGTTTTGCAATGTGGGAGAAACATTTTTTGCAACAATATGCCACAATAAACAGAGCCAACAGCTTCTTATGGCTGCAGCTACTATAAGACCACAGACAGCTCAACAGCGACAGGCATCGACAATCAGCACCGTCAGGAGCTCTGATACCAATTAATTTCAAATGCCTTTACTGTGCCTCTAAGCCCATACTTCAGATCTGAACTGGTATTTCAATAAAACACAAGAGTAGAGAAAATGAACAAAGCATTAAGCATCACAGCAATAAAATGTTTGAAATGGGAGGGGATGCTTAAGGTCTTTTTTTTAGTTTTTTAAGACTGTGATTAACTGTGTGCTTGAGGCTCAAGTGAGAATTAATACTCATCCTTTCAAACTAAGATATTTCTGACAGCTTCCTACAGCAGGTAAAAAAACAGACTGCTCATTACGTCCTGAATGAACAGACTTCCTATTCACACTACATATTTGAGTACTTTCTGCAAACAAACCGGAGCTGGAGCTTGAAACAGACATCACATGCAGTGAATACTGCTTCTGCTGTGGACCCTTTTAAACGAGGGAGTGAAAAGCACTCAGAGCAATTCATAGCATGTATTTTTCTTGGTTTCTGCCAGTCTTCCAACGTTTTGGATCAATCAATAGTACCCAGTAAGCAAAATACACAATGCAATCTAGTTTATCTTTAAAGTGTCTGAGATCAATTGATCTCTTCTCAATAATAAATCCTCTACGACACTTTTCTCTTCAGAAAGCACAACCATCATAAATAATAAATACATAAACAATAAAAAGTTCTATGACCCAGCAAAATGATCATACTGCTTTTTCAGCAGAAAAATGCAACTGTATAGGGCTTTGTGCTGACCTCATTCATGCCTGAGTGTGATTATTTTCCAAGCCATTTAAGTCACATAAAAGCATTTAATTAATAAGCGCCCATCCGTTCATGGGATCCCCCTCCTTGTGAAGCTAAGCGTTATTTCCGAGCACCAGTGAGGCGAATCCTCTTAATTGAGAAGTGTCAGAAGAGGCATCCGCTAACAGAAGGCACAAAATAAATAGCTCAGTGCGAGTCAAGACCACCCCTACTGCTAATTTCTTCTTTCATAACTGTCACCACTCCTAGCTGCCGAGTCCATCTTGTCCCTTTTCCATTTACCACTGCTGGTCCAGGTGCTCACAGATATTCATGAAAGGACTTCTTGAGCAATTTATCACAGGAGAGCTGTTTAGTTCTGTTGATGAATGGATGGGAGGATGTGAACATGGTCAGGAGCCATTGATCATTGAACTTTTTTTTTAGCACTCTGAGCAAATTTTGATGTATGAGCAGTAAGTTGAGAATGAAAACAGCACATTACATGTGGCTCTGTGGAACAGGCAGAGATCCTTATAGTGCAGCTTTTAGTTAATATAACTAAGGAATCATTCAGATAATTTAATTTAGTAAAACTCTCGAAGGAGAGATATGTGTCTTTTAAAGGAAAACACTGTACTAACAGCATATCTCCATGAGTGATGTGTTCATTTTCTTTGCAGGAAGAATGAATCCTGAACCCACATGCATAGAATGACAGCTTTTTTTGGAGAGCAAAAATCTGTGGAGTCGGTCCTGCTTGGCGGAACATTAGATCACGTCTGTCAGCTGTTTGTTTGTGACAGCACACGCGGGACAGTTACAGAGCCTCGTCTGCCGACATCTGTCATCATCTTGGTCTTCCTCTGTGGGCTTGTTGCTGGAAAGACAAAACAAGGTCCTCATTGGCAACATGTCATGCAGAGAAGGCAGCAGCCACACAGCCACTTACATAAACTTGTCTGACAAACAAGGACATGTTTAACCATCAAGATCATTGTGAAAGACGTACAGTGCCTTGAAAGTATTCACGCCCCTGTAATTTCTATACTATTTTTCCCTTTATAACCAAATATTTGAATGGATTTTATTGAATGGGACATAATGCCGTTTCCGAACATCCGCTCTAAATCTCTGTTACTCTATAGTGAACTCAGTTAACTGGCCGTTCGGATGGATGATCTCTACTTTTCCCTCCCTGTTGGTCAAGAACTCCACCTCCCCGCACAGTGTATGCGCCATCTTTGTCATTAGCCACCGCTGTCACTACCCGACATTGGGCTGCTGTCGCAACAAATACCTTGATGCTTTGTGAGCTCTTCCAAAGGAATCTGGGGTATATCTTCTCGTCTAGTGTCTATGGATTATTACTAAGTTGCATTGTGAGAAATTTCAAGTCCACCACTTTTTAATCCACTAGACATTCGGACACTCATCTAAAATGGTGTAACCACTATGTACTGTAGTGCCCTATATAGTGATTAGGGCAGTGTTTGGACACGGCCAATGTAATGAGAAAATAAAATAAAATGGCTTCTAGATGTTTAACAAATAAAATTCTAAAAAGTGTGGTGTACATTTATTTTTAGGCCCCTTCACTTTTAAACCCATATATAAAATCACACATGGAAACAATTGCCTTAGAAAATCTCCTAAACACAGTCCACTTGTTTATAAGTTATGATGACTATAAGTTCAGATGCTCTGTAGGACTCTGAGGTTTGTTTGAGAACATTATTAAATAACTAGCATCCTGGTGGCAAGTTACCTGCCAAAACATGATCGTGCAACAAAAATAGCCTGGGCAAACAAGAATTATAGAAATAGCATTGCATGTTTGGTGACTGAAGGAACTACAAAAGAGATGAAAAGAATTTAGCATTTGTGCAGTCCACAAATCTGTCCTTTATGGAGAAGTGTCTCAAATAAAGATGTTTTTGTGATAAACCCATAAGAAGCCAAATTCAGAGCTTGCCACCCGCTTTGTAGGGGTTAAATAATAAAGTGTTTCCACGAGATAAAACTGTACTTTATGCCCTACATGTACATCAGAAGTATTTCTAACATCCCCATGACTGCATCAATCCTACCATAAATATGGTAGTGGCAACATGATACTGTGTGTATGTCTTTCCTTTGCAGCTCTCAATGTTTCAATGTCCAGTAGAAAAAAACAAAAATACTCAAAAGGTTAGATCAAAGCATGTTTATCTGTTGTAATGATCTAGTCCAGATCTAAAAAAAATCTGAGCCAAGAAACTAGTTCGTACTTGTTTGTCTTAAATTATGTTAATGCATAAAGATAAATAGGGCCATTAGGGCCTTATGCATGTCAAATTTTTAAGCAAAAAATTCAAACAGGAGTTTTTGATAAATTTAAAGTGATGGCTAGTCTGTGTTAAGCTACACTAAAAATAAGAAAATACACTGTGTCAGAATGTGACACAATTGAAAGGTAAAAGAAAAAAAATCTGTTTTGCCCTGTTTTGCAAAGTATTGCAAAACAGGGCAAGGTAAAAGTGGTTTCCATAAAGACCACAGAGATAAAGAGAACAGGGGAAAACACAACCTGCTGGGAAGAGTCGGTAATAAGAGGCTAATAGAACACATAAACATGCATTTGCACAAACAAGCATTTGCTGTAGCTGCACATCTCAGAGAGGGCCACATGCTGGAGAAAATAACAGTATCATTAACCATATGGCATCTGCTGCCTGCCATTTGAATGCACACTCACCTGCCATGTGGCAGCGTGGGCGGGATGCCCATGGCCGCGAGCGTGCACATGACCGTGCCTGTGTGCACCTGCATGCACGTGCCCGTGATGGTTGTGAGGCATGGCAGTGTTGTGGCGAGGTGCTCCATGGTGTCGCTGAGCTGCTGGCATGTTCTGTCTGAGAGGCTGGGGAACCCTTGTTGGGGATTTGTGTTGGGTACGTGCCTTGGGGAGAGTTTGGAACTCTGCCAGGGGGATGGGGGGGGGAGGGGCAGGTGGCTGCCGACCCCCTGCAGCAGTAGTTCCAATCTGCACTGCGCCAGAGTGAATCAGGGTTGCCTGTGTTTGCTGTCTCCGATTCTGGAATACTTTAGCTCTTTCAGTGTGGGCTTTTAGTGCTGCCTGGGTTAGGTTACTGGGATTAGGCTGAGCAGGAGGTACAGGGACAGGATTGGTGCCCCCACGAATAGGCTGGATGGCACCCTGCATGACAGGCTGTGTGTGTGTGTTCCGACCTGGCCGTGTTTGGGCTGGTGCAGCTATGTGTTGCTGTTCCATGTGGGGCTGCTGAAGGTGGTTGGGATCAGCCAAAGCCCTTGTATCTGTGCCTTGTGATGTAGTTGGCCCTTGTTGTGTTGCTAGTTCTTGGGACACAGCAGTATGGCCTGCAGAGGCCTGTTGGCTCATGAGAGGCATAGCCTGGGGGTAACTGCTGTGAGTCGTTTCCTGCCTGAGGGCACTCTGGCTACCTCTGATCTCTCGCTGAGTATTTTCTCTGTCTGTTCGGGGGCTTATCTGTGTGCGGTGTGAGCGCCCAGGCGGTGTAACATTGGTAGTGTTTGGGTGGCGATCATCAGCATGATAGGTCTGAGTCTGACTATCCTCTGAGGGTGGATCATGTCTGGGCGGAGTTCTACGCCTTGTAACGGTTTGGTTCTGAGGAGGCGTTCTGTTTAATGTCCTTCCCTCCCGTATTGGGGGACGGATAGTGTAGTCCGCGCTGTAATCTAAATCAGAAGTAGATTCAGGTTGGATATGTGCTCTTGCTCTTTCAGGAGTCCCACTGGGGTAGGCTGGTGTTCCTCTGAGAAGATCCCATGGGATCTGTCTCTGTCTGGATCTTGGCGTTGACTCATGTTGTCTTGACTCTCTGTCTCGTCTCCTGTGAGACTCTGGGTCCTGCTGGTAGGTCTGTGTAGTTTCATTTCGCTGAGTTGTGATATTATTGTTAAAATGTGTATATCCAGTTGGAATAAGTCCAGGTTCACCTTGAAAATTTGGGTTAACATGACCATCTGGTCTCCGGTTATTCGGATAGGACCGTCTGCTTTGTGTTGCATGGTTTAACTGCCTTGTACCTGAGAAGTTATTTTGCGTTTGTGGAACTCCATTAAAGGCCTGATTATCAGGAGGAAAAGAGCTTTCCTGCAGAGGTGTTTGGCCATTGCCTGGATATGAGTTGAGGTTAACATTGATAGTAGGAAGTTGAGCATTGCTGTTTGGGATATTAGAGTTTGGTAGTGCATTGAGGCTGACTTGAACAGCTGGGGGCTGGTTGCTACCCTGCCCCGGCATGGTCTGAATCAAAACATTTGGATTCTGCTGCTGCTGCTGTTGCAGGTTCAAGGCCCTGTTTGCATTCGGAGAATCCAGAGGTGTGAAAGCCGGGTTGTCAAAGCTATTATTTGGGTTCGAATTCGGAGTGGCATTTGGTAAAAGTGAGTTTGTAAGGTTGCGGCTATTATGTTGCTGTATTTCAAAGTCCTGTGAACGATTCATAGCTGTTGCCCGTAGGTTCGCCCGGTTTTCAAGGTTGTTGGTGATTAAGCGCTCAGGCTGGTTTTCTTGTCTGCGCGGCTCATAGAGAGGAGGCTGGAGACCTCGATCCAAATTCCTTACGAAATTAGTTTGAGGATCTTGAGGCTAGAAGTGAGCGGGTGATAAATGAGGGGATGGAGCAGAAAGCAAAAGAAAGACAGGGTCTATTTGAGAACAGGCCTTCGGCAACATCATGACATAAAGATAACATCAATAGTGAATGATGTGTTAATGTTATGGTGGCTTACAACTGTTCTTCGAATTGGATCCACTTCTTGAACAAACACAACATTTCTTCCTAGTTCCCGCTCTGTAATAAGAAAATATCTTATGTTAGGAGAATAAAATGAGTATAACAAAAAGGCAAAATGCTGGTTAATGACAGACTTACCTCTATTCCTTTTCATACGAACAACAAGGAAAACAATGAGGAGCACAATAAGTAGGAGAGCTAGGAAAGCACCGATCACAATCCCTGCAACTTCTCCTCCATTAAAGCATTCCTCTAAAACAATGAGATATGAAAAATACAATTAATAACGGTAATGATACTAAAGCACAGACAGAGTGGAGGGAGGATGAAAATAGAAAAGAAAAAAAAGAGCAAAAGAAAAAGAAAGTAACTCAGGATGGATGGTACAGAGGGAAAGAAGCAAAAGACATTGAACGACTTTGACCACAGTGTCACCATATCAATTACCCAGTATGCTCCCCGTCGCAAAGACGGATACAGCAGCAAAATCTTAAACCAACTATGATCATCATCAGTCACACAGAGACGACCATTCGCCATAACTCACCCACAATGGCCAAGTCGTAGCCCTGAGTCGACGTGCCCCTGGTGATGGTGTTTGTGGCCGTGCACACGTACTGACCACTTTCATTAGTCGAGAACGTCTGGAGGCTGAGCACCCCGCTACCACCACCAGATGAGATAGTCTGTCCAGCTCGCTGCCATGAGAAGGTGGCAGGGGGAAGCGAGTCAGACGTACAGGTAAGACGCACCGTCTGTCCCACCTTCACGTCCCCTCCACCAACGCACTCTTTTGGTGAGTCAACAGTAAGGACGGGGGTGTCAGGTCCATCTGGATGGTGATGATGAGAGAATATTTAATTCCAAACATTAAATGATTCAAAGGTTGCATAACAAATATAAAAAGCAGTAGTGATTGACAAATTACACGTCCTGCTAAAGGGGGAATTACTGGGTGAGTTTAGGCCTTTAGTTACCTCATTAGAATTAATCACTGTGGTTAACCCTCTTTGATCTTGCTCAGCTAATGAGGGACAGACCTTTTGTGTTTTGTTTCATAATTTGAAAAATCCTTTTGCAGTTAAGGCTGAGGGTCAGGAAATATTTTCTAGTTTGAAACTCCGCACAGTGACTAAGGAAAGGAGTAAATCATTTTTCTATTTTCATCCTCAAAAAAAGAAAGGAAAAAAAAAACAGATATAGGTTATATCACTTTAGGTTTTTTATATATATATTTTTTAAATCCAGTCTAGTTTTATGTTGTCTGATATGCCCAAAATTTATTATTTAGCATCTCTTCACAATTACAAAGTAAAAACAGGTGTTCTAAGTCTGTTTTAAGACATCCCCATCGATTCTTTCACCTGTTTCAGAGATGCTTCTGCAACAACGTAGAGTCCATCAACTGAGAATTTCAATTCAGTTCATTTATATAGCGCCAATTCACAACACATGTCATCCTAAGGCACTTTACCAGATCATATAGTCAAATTGATTCAAATTCTAAGGAAAACCAGTTAATTGCATCGACTCATTGACTCTAATGTAATCCCTCACACTAAGCATGCTTGTAGTGACAGTGGAGAGGAAAAACTCCCTTGACATACAAATATTTGCACATTGCAGAGCTAATAAATTAGCAATCAGGCAGGTATTACCAATAGTGGAGCAATGAGAGTATGTCAAGATACAATACGTTAAATTATAGGTGTGCGCTTAGAAAAACTGTTTTATTTATAGTTTATCGTTAAAGCAAGTAGTAGAGATTGCATTGTCCGCTACATCTGGGGACTTGCCAGTTTTACCTACACATAATTTTGAAAAGACACCATCTTGGCTGAAATGACTTAACGAAACTAGAAGAAACCCCTTGAACTTAATCTGCTAGTTATCATGTTGGAGCCACACAGCTTAATGCAGATTTTATTTCATAAACATAAAGCAGTTCTGAAAAAAAAATCTTCACAAATGGAAAACCTAACATGGTGGACCTAGTATCTATTAATTCCATCTGTAACCACTGTATGAAGTGCAGCACTTGATTTATTTAGGAGTGTCAAAGTAAAGGGGGCTGCATGCAAATAAGATTTAGTACCTTTAGTTGGTCTATCGCAAAAAGTCTCAATTTAGTTTGGGGTTGTAACATGACCAAATCTGAAAATGTTGAAGGGTATGAATACTTTTGCTTGATACGAGGTAAACATACGGTGAATATGCTGCAATGCAGCAAAATACCTTTCCAGAGGGCTTTAGAAAATTTTGAAACTCTGAATTTAATTACATTCTGTTAGAAAACAAAACACTTCCTTTTTAACCTCGTTGATCTTTCACGTTTCTGGTGGAATCTCTTCCAGAGGAAAGATGTGCCAAATATGTATCATCATTCCAAAGATAACATAAAAGCTCAAATTGTGTCTAATTTTTTTTTTTTTACGTTACAATCATAAAACTGTTTGATGAATATAAAGTCAGTCTTGACAGTAGATTCCAAGAAAATTGAAGAATTACAAAGGTGCTCACCTTCTTTTCATGCGAAGTACCCTGACCTCACAGTAAATAATTATTAGCCGGAAAAGAAAAAAATAAAGAAAGAAAAAACTTTTTTTCCTTTTTTGGCATAACCAACTGGTTATGGGACATTTTTTCAGATAAAACTGAACAGATACTTAAATCATAAAAAAAAAAACAATTTGAGGTTGAAAATCTCAAATCTCAAAAACTCAGGATTTTTCTGCACCAAGGAAAAAAAATAAAGACAGTTATTATACAGCTAACATTTGCATAACCTAAACTGTTTTTCTGCCTTTCCTTTTCTCTCTTTTTGTTGAAGGAGCAGGTTTCCTTTTGTCCAAAAGCACAGCAGTGCAGTATGTCAGATCAGTAGATTTAGACTGTGCTGTAAGAGTATCGTATCAAAATTAACGATGTGATCAGGAACAACCCAGAACAACATTGTGAGCTTCTGGAAGGATGTCTTGTGCAATGCGGGTGTAATTCAGCAAGCAGTGTTCAGTGCAATGTGGATAGGGAGATAAGCCTCTGCTATTTGTTGCGGTCACAACAGATTAGCCGCCTCTTGTCTTGGGCAGTGTAAACTCACAGTAGACAGTGAGGCGCTTTGTGGAAGTCTGAGCGCTGACATTGTTGCTGGCAGTGCAAGTGTAGTCCCCAGTATCATCCCGACTGGCTGGGTTGATTACCAAAGAGCCAACGGAGATGATGATTCTGGAATCAGGTGTGATGGCGGTGCCATCTTTGGCCCACTGGGTAGTAACTTCTGTCCCACCGCTCCATGTGCAAGTCAGAGACACGTTTTTCTCCTCCACTGGCTGTGAAGGAACAGACAGAATCACTCCGACTACTGGGTCTGCAAAGAGAGCACAAAAAATTTTCCCTAAGAGCTCAACAAAAGAAAAGAATCATGACGGTATGATGGCGGTAGGAAGTACAGGTTGCATTTTTAATATCTGGCTGGGGGACTACCGATGAAAATTAGCACTCCTTAGCTAACTCGGGTATATTTACATTGTTTTAATGTTTATTAATGTACACTGTCCCCTTTCAAATAAACAATAAATGAAATGAAAGAAAAACAGTAAATTTAGATTTTCAGCCTGAGAGGGTACTTCAAAAGTTGGAGCTATGGAACAATAGGGAGCAGTTGGCCAGTCCTGTTGAGGATAATTTGTTGTAATCAAAGCAAGAAAGGGCTGAGAAGGGACAGCATTCAGAGAGGAGCACAGATGGTGAATAAGAGGGCAGACGATGCGGGTGGTAGCCAAGATGCGTCCTGGCAGACTGCCTAAGTTAAATAATTGGACAGGGAGAAGAGGGGGCGTATGGATGGAGGACGGAGCACCGAGAGTAAAGGAACCGTGGCAGTAACAGCAAACAAACAAAAACATTAGAGCCACTACTAAACAGCCCTAATTACTTTCTCTGAGCGTCCGCCTGAGTGTGACTCAGCAGGAGCATTTCATATTTCAGGATCTAAGCAGCCTCTGATTCTAAAAGGCTTCAAATGAGGAAGTAGGATGCTTAGAACGGTGCTCAAGGACCAGTCTGAAAATTTGACCTTTCAGCAGCAACAGACAGACCAGTGAGATGATTCCTTCCGCCGTTCATCCTACTAGCCGTGGGAGGGGAAAGGAATGGGCGACACTGTGCATCATCCTTTCCTTTGGGCTGAAAATAAAAATACACTCAGATGTTCAGGCTCCATTACGGTAGTGAATATAAATGAATGCAAATAGTTATCTACGTCTCAACGTGTGGCACTGCTTTTAGATGCTATCAGATATTTAAAACCATGGGTTCTGCATATCAAATGGGTTTTAATTGGCATAAAGCGTGTAGCACCTCGCTTCACCCCTTCTCCTTTTTCATTACTCTTCTCTTGCTGTCTATGGGTCACTAATTTCATTATACCTCCCTGATTAATTCACACCCCCTCAAACTCTCCATCTTCTCTCTGCAGTCTCTCAAACATCTCCTCAGTTTTTACCTTTTTTCACATACACCCCTCCTGTACGTTTGCTCGTGTCTTACCAAACACCTTCAGCTGCACCATTTTGGAGTTTCTGGTCAGTCCTGTTGAAGAGCCTGGAAGCACCTCCACTGTGTACATCCCTGCATCCTCGAGCCGGGCGTCTCGGATTTGAAGCTGGTTTGCTCTGATGTCGATTCTGCCTCGGAACTGAGGCACGTTATTGTAAGAGGCACTATTCGAGGACCACAAACCCAGTGTTTCTGAGGGTTCATACGTCCAAGTCATGGAGAAGATGTCAGACACAGACGTCTGCACTGTAAACAGAATTTCTGCGCCTGTTTGGACCTGCACCAGATCCATCTCAAATGTAATTCCCACCTGGCCCTCTGCCAGGACTTTGGCAGAGAGGAGAACTAAAAGAGAAATAAAAGACAAAGAATGTGCCCAATGAAATACTGTTATATATAAATGATAATTACTCAAAGTACAGAAAAGGTATGATGAAAACACCACCAGGTGGTGCTGTATCAATGGAATCACTGTATGTAGTATAAGCTGTGGTGATAAATACACAAAAGGTACTAAGCATTTAAAAGAATGAAAAAAAGTAGTTGTAATAACTGCATACTTTGCATCAAAACATGAAACTTTTTGCAACATTCAAGTTCTCATTTTTAATCGGATTACTGCTGATTGCATGACTGAGTGTATGACGAAGCTTTATAACAAATTCACTTTAGTGTGGATGCTTAATCTTCCAAAAAAATAAGATAACACTGCTCTCCAACATGGTACATTATAGATGTATTCACCGTCTTTACTATCTCTGTAACTGCGCTTGGTGGAGAAATTAGCTTCAGCCCCTTTCATGCCTTAATTCACATATTTTCAGTTCTTCCAGCTGTTCATTTAAAATATGGAGACTTAAAGTACAGACGGCGTCCCCTGTAAAGTGGCATGCTCTCTTGCTTCCAATGTCAAAGAGTAGCTAAAGAAAACAGTTTATAGCAAAGAAAACGAGTAATATACACATCAGTGATTACTAAATTCCTAAACAAATATATATTTCTATTACTGCCTCAATTACATTAATTCTACAATTAAGTGCTTTGAGGTGGCAGGCATTGGTAAATTGATTAAACTAACAAAATATATATCATATCAGTATAGATTACTTCCTGTAATGAATAATTATACTCAATCTAAATGGTAAGTTTAAAAGATTGTTTCTGATTATGCTTATGGAATAATAAAAGGGTGTATTTTAATGTATCACTAGTTAACCAGGAACTGGCCTGTCAGGAGTGAAGGTTTTTTTTTTTTTTTTTTTACTGGAAAGTCCAAAGGATTTAAAGATTCAGTGAAAGAAAGTGTCACACTACTGTACGTTTTCTTTGGCTGTCTGAGGCATAATGTAGCACTTCCTCTTCACCACCTAGAGCTAAACACTGGCTAAAAGAAAGCAACTATACTTTTTCCATAGAAGACAACATGATTTTATATGCAAATAACCTGTTTCCATCAGGAAACAAAGGGGGCCTAATGAAAAATAAAAACTAAAGTAGTAGCTAACAATCATTTAACCTGATATTAACTGCTTGACAGGTTATATTTTTTGCATTTTTACATAACAAAAAAAACGATTTTATACTTTTTGAATATATTATTCATGGGGCACATATTTTCGTGTTCTTTTAATGTACTCTATTCATCATCAGTTTGAGAATAAACGTTATAGAAGACATAATAGAACTGATATGCCATGCAGAAAGAGGAATAGCATTTATCCATTTTAATTAAAACTGAAAAGACCATTTTTCATACATTATTTTGGGGTGTTTTGTAGAGAGATATTTTTACATTGCCAGAACAACCAATTAAAATTTTCACTCTGTTGAGGATTTGCATTTTTGGTGCTGCACATTTTAGACACAAGGTGAGAGCCACTTTTTTCAAATTTTTATCCATTCTAGTATGTTAGGACAGACGATTCCAAGTTAAGCAACAATTTCCTTGTTTTACATATATTTTATAATAACTTTAGCTAAAACACAGCTTTTCTGTTTTACTTGGCATTATAAAATAATGGTTGGGGAAGTTATCATCTTTGTACAAAAATAATTTAAAAAAAAAACATTTTAAAAGGCAGTCAGTCGCCAACAGTCTTTGTAAAAGTGTTTAAAACCTACTTATTTTTATAGTGAACACAGGAAACACGGCAAACATGTGGAGGAAGAACCTCTAAACAGATAATAAGAAACTAAAAATCTTCTTAAACTGCATACAGTGAGGAAAATAAGTATTTAAACACCCTGCTGTTTTGCAAGTTTCCCACTCAGAAATCATGGAGGGGTCTGAAATTGTCATCGTAGATGCATGTCCACCGTGAGAGACATATTCTAAAAAAAATAAATCCAGAAATCACAACGTATGTTTAAAACTACAACGATTTTTTTAAACTATTTATTTGTATGATATAGCTGCAAATAAGTCTTTGAACACCTGTCTATCAGCTAGAATTCTGACCCTCAAAGTCTGTCCTATAAATTTCCACCTCTACTCCATTTATTATCCTAAATTAGAGGCACCTGTTTTAGGTCGTTAGATGCATAAAGACGCCTGTCCGTCCCATACAATCAGTAAGAAGCCAACTACTAACATGGCAAAGACCAAAGAGCTGTCCAAAGACATTAGAGACAAAATTCTACACCTCCACAAGGCTGGAAAGGGTTACGGGGAAACAGCCAAGAAGCTTGGTGAAAAAGGGTCTAATGTTGGAGCAATCATTAAAAAACGGAAGAAGTTAAACATGACTGTAAATCTCACTCAGACTAAGGCTACATGCAAGATCTCACCTCTTAGAGTCTTAATAATCTTGAGAACGGTGAGAGACCAGCCCAGAACTAAACGAGAGGAGCTAGTTAATGACCTGAAAAGCTGGGACCACCGTTTCAAAGGATACTGTTGGTAATACAATCAGACGTCATGCTTTGAAATCATGCATGGCATGATTAAAACAGCACATTTCAAGGCCTGTCTTAAGTTTGCAAATGATGGTGCGTGCAGCTGGTTAGTGCGCATGACCCATGTACAGAGGCCTCAGTCCTCGACGTGGCTGATCTGGGTTCGAATCTGACCTGTGGTCGTCTGTCGCATTGTCTCTCCCCCTTTCCTGTCAGCCTATTGTTGAAAAAACTAGCCAATAGTGCCATAAAAAATAAAACGTTTGCCAATGACCATTTGGCAGATCCAGAGGAGTCATGGGAGGAATTCATGGGGTCATGAAGACCAAAATAGATATTTTTAGTCATAATTCCACTAACAATGTTTGGGGGAATAAGAATGATGAGTCCCATCCCAAGAACACCATCCCTACTGTGTAGCATGGAGGTGGTAGCATAATGCTTCAGGGGTGTTTTTCTGCACATGGTACAGGGCGACTGCACTGTATAAAGGAGAGGATGAGCAGGGCCATGTATTGCGAGATTTCAAGGAATAACCTCCTTTCCTCAGTTAGAGCATTGAAGATGAGTCGAGGCTGGGTCTTCCAACATGACAATGACCAGAAGCACACAGCCAGAATAACCAAGGAGTGGCTCTGGAAGAAGCATGTCAAAGTTAGAGAAGCTCAAACTCTGTGTTTCTCAGTGACAGGCCAGAAACCTCACTGATCTAGAGAAGATCTGTGTGTAGGAGTGGGCAAAAATCCCTTCTGCAGGATGTGCAAACCTGGTGAAACACTACAGTAAGCATTTGACCTCTGCACAATGTACCAAATATTAACATTGATTTTCTCAGGTGTTCAAATACTTACTTGCAGCTGTATCATACAAATAAATAGTTTTAAACAAATCATACGTTGTGATTTCTGGATTTATTTATTTTTTAGATTAATGTCTCTCACAGTGGATATGCACCTACAATAAAAATTTCAGACCCCTCTATTATTTCTAAGTGGGAGAACTTGCAAAATAGCAGGGTGTTCAAATTCTTATTTTCCTGACTGTACAACATGTGTGGGAAGAAAGAAAAAAGCTCCACGTCTCCCTGAACACAACATTGCGTCCCATGTGGTTCCACTTCCTCCATGTGGCTCGAATGAGCACAACAGTAACAATACTGGGGTAAAAGGTTCAAGTGCAATGAGTGCACAGCCTAAATGTTTTGTTCCTCTGCATGATGATGTGTCCAGTTATATTTTTCGACACACCTCATTTTATTTTCCGCTTTCAAACACAAAGAACTCCTCATTTGTTATGTGGACCAATAACAGAACAGCCAGACACGTCCAACACAGTATATGTACCAAATATAATTCGCAGTGTAATCACAACAGACTGAGCCTCAGCCAGTGTGGGATTTCATCCAAAAAAAAGATGAAGAAATCTGCTAGGGTTTGAAAATAACTTTTACCATACTTCATTTCAGAGATAGAACAAACTTTACCAGCCAAGGATTCGTGACAGTAGAAAAAATGTCATGTATATCCTGAATATGAGCTTCAGCATTACCTAACAGTTTGCATTTTCACATAGATGTATAAGTGAGATCCTAGAAAAGAGCATAGAACCTTATGCGAGCATTCCAGCCTTGCAAAGCTAGGACTATTCCCACAAAGGTTTAATTATGTTCCAGAGACTTCAAGCTATAGATTCACATAAAGTAATAGACAATTTAATTGTTGAATGAAAAGGACACAGTTTTCCAAATAAAGACTAGAATCTGAATAGTGTTGCAGAATTTATTTTGTTTCACCACTTTAACAAAATTCGTGTGTAATTTTTAGTTCTGCATTCGCTAAATTGAGTATGTTGTGCCTAATCGTTATGGAACATGGTGCTTTGAGCAACTGGCTGTCGGGATGCTTGTCTTCAGCAAAGGTAGGGATGCTCAGTGGATGGATTAAACTAAATACAAGGTCATTTTGAAAAAATAAATATTTTAAAAAGATGAAACACACAGTCAGAAATAAGCTATTTTACAACATGTCTCCAACTAGAGCTGAAACAATTAATCGAATGAATCGATTAGTGAAATAATCTTTAATTAGAGC